AGATCCTCTGGTTATCAGGTCTTCATTTTTCCCTGTTAAGGTTTATCCTAGCACTGTGGATGACTACAAAACTAGTATTTCCAGTGCAGAACAAATAAAAACTATTAAAATAATACCGAGAAAATGTTCAATTTTGTTTAAAAACAGAAACTTTAGAAGTAGATAAAAGCAAAGAAGAGCCAAAAACAGCAAAACTGGCGCTTTTGAAGTGAAGAAAAATGAAGTTCAAAGTTAATAAAAAAGTGTTATCTGAAATAAACACTTGATACTGCAAACCAAAATGGCTAACCTTATCTCAAGAAAAACTGATATACAGTTACCACTCCCAAAGTGGAAAGAAAAAAGAAAAAATAAAGACAGTTAGTGGAGCTATGGGAGCATTAGTTTGGCCTCAAGGTTTTTTACTCTAACACACAATGCCAGAAAGCAGGAGAACAATGTCTACATAGCTGTGAGGCAGAAATAGGTAAACTAAGAATTTTACACACAGACAACCTGCCCTTAGACAAATCATTCTCATATACCCAAGATTTTAGGGAACACAGTAATCATGAACGCTTCTTAAAAAATTTATTTGCTGTGAAATCTAGCCAACTAAGCAATGAATCAAAATAGTCACACGTGGTGGCTCACACCTGTAATCCTGGCACTTTGGGAGGTCAAGGCAGGTGGATCACTTGAGATCAGGAGGAGAGCAGTCTCACCAACATGGTGAAACGCCATCTGCTAAAAGTACAAAAAAATTAGCCAGTAGTAATGGCACATGCCTGTAATACCTACTACTCGGGAGGCTGAGACAGAAGAGCTGCTTGAACTCAGGAGGTGTAGGTTGCAGTGAGCCAAGATCCACCACTGTACTCCAGCCAGGGTGACACAGCGAGACTCCCTCTCAAAAAAATAAAATTGTCAAGATTAGAGGAAAGTAAAAAGGACTGGTGGTAGGGACTGAATCAATTTAAATAGAGAACTAATAAGAAGGATCTTTGGAGTTCAGGTCATTCAAGAGAATGTTAATGGCACAAGGCTTAGTAATATAAAGTAAACTTTTAACAAAAATGTGGGGTAGGCAAGATTAGGAGAAAACGTGTGTACAAATATGTTCATCTTTCCTATTAGGAAAGCAAATACTGCTGTCTAAAGTTGGAAAACAATTTTTAAAAGTGAAGATGAAATTCAAACTTTCAAGTAATTTTCCTTATTAACTTGAGAGAGAACTTTGAGAAATTAATTTCTTGTGGTAAAGAAGTATAAATTGTCTCTTTTTGCAGAAGACATGATTGTATATTTAGAAGACCTCATCATCTCAGCCCAAAATCTCCTTAAGCTGAGAAGCAAATTCAGCAAAGTCTCAGTATACAAAATGAATGTGCAAAAATCACAAGTATTCCTATACACCAATATCAGACAAACATAGAGCCAAATCATGAGGGAACTCCCATTCACAATTGCTACAAAGAGAACAAAATACCTAGGAATACAACTAACAAGGGATGTGAAGGACCTCTTCAAGGAGAACTACAAACCACTGCTCAAGGAAATAAGAGGACACAAACAGATGGAAAAACATTCCATGTTCATGGTTAGGAAGAATCAATATCATGAAAATGAACATACTGTCCAAAGTAATTTATAGATTCAGTGCTATCTGAATCTATAAATACCCATCAAGCTACCATTGACTTTCCTCACAAAATTGGAAAAAACCACCTTAAATTTCATATGGAACTAAAAAAGAGCCTGCATAGTCAAGACAATCCTAAGGAAACAAAGAAAGAAAGAAAGAAAGCTGGAGGCATCATGTTACCTGACTACAAACTATACTACAAGGCTACAGCAATCAAAACAGCATGGTACTGGTACCAAAACAGTGATATAGACCAATGGAACAGAACAGAGGCCTCAGAAATCATGCCACACATCTACAACCATCTGATCTTTGACAAACCTGACAAAAGCAATGGGGAAAGGATTACCTAATTAATAAACAGTGTTGGGAAAACTGGCTAGCCATATACTGAATGCTCAGACTGGATCCCTTCCTTACACCTTATATAAAAATTAACTCCAGATGGATTAAAGATTTACACGTAACACCGAAAACCATAAAAACCCTAGAAATAAACCTAGGCAATACTATTCAGGACATAGGCATAGGAAAGGACTTCATGACTAAAACACCAAAAGCAATGGCAACAAAAGCCAAAATAGACAAATGGAATCTAATTACACTAAAAAGCTTCTGTACAGCAAAAGCAAGTATCATCAGAGTGAACTGGCAACCAACATAATGGGAAAAAATGTTTGCAATCTACCCACCTGACAAAGGGCTTATATCCAGGATCTACAAAGAACTTAAACAAATTTACAAGAAAAAAACAACCCCATCGAAAAGTGAGCCAAGGATCTGAACAGACACTTCTCAAAAGGAGACATTTATGCAGCCAAAAAACATATGAAAAAAAGCTCATCATCACTGGTCATTAGAGAAATGCAAATCAAAACCACATAGAGATACCATCTCATGTCAGTTAGAATGGTGATCATTAAAAAGTCAGGAAAAAAACATGCTGGAGAGGACATGGAGAAATAAGAATGCTTTTACACTGTTGGTGGGAGTATAAATTAGTTCAATCATTGTGGAAGACAGTGTGGCAATTCCTCAACAATCTAGAACCAGAAATATCATTTGACCCAGCAATCCTATTATTGGGTATATACCCAAAGGATTATAAGTTATTCTATTATAAAGACACATGCACACATATGTTTATTGTAGCACTATTCACAATAGTAAAGACTTGGAACCAACCCAAATGCCCATCAATGACAGACTGGATAAAGAAAATGTGGCACATATATACCATGGAATACTATGCAGCCATAAAAAAGGATGAGTTCATGTCTTTTGCAGGGACATGGATAAAGCTGGAAACCATCATTCTCAGCAAACTGGCAAAGAACAGAAAACCAAACACTGCATGTTCTTACTCATAAGTGGGTGTTGAACAATGAGAACACATGGACATAGGGAGGGAAACATCACACACTGGGGCCTGTTGGGGGTTGGGGGCCAGGAGATGACTAGCAGGCAGTGGGGGGCTAGGGGAGGGATAGCATTAGGAGAAATACCCAATGTAGATGACATTAGGGTGATGGATACAGCAAGCCACCATGGCACGTGTATACCTATGTAACAAATCTGCATGTTCTGCACATGTACTCCAGAACTTAAAGTATAATAATAACAAAAAAAAAGAAGTATATTAATTCGGCAATTCGTTTCATTCCACTTTCATTTCTCTGCCTCTTCTGGTTAAGTATAAATAAAATGATCTTTAGTGTTTTTACTAAAAATGGCATGATCCAATTTATCTAATATTATATCCACTTATATGTATAGATAAATGTCTGGAATGATGCATACAAATAGCAATTAATTTGTTACTTGGGGTGGGGAGATTCCACCACCCCAACATTGCTTTTTATTTTAATGAACATGTATCATTTTTCAAAATCAGCCATTATTCTTTAAAAAAAGAAATAAGAACAAATGTCCTACACTTTAATTTATGTCATTGATCTCTTTTTTACCTTTGGCTTAGCTCACTGTCAACCTCTTGTCAGTCAACAGAGATATTTGCTCTTGAATGCAGAATTTACTCTAATTTTCTTTTGTATTCCTCAAAGTAAGTGAGGTATAACAGTTAAAAATGTTAAAACCTTTTCTATTCATTATTTGATTTAATCCTCACAACCCTGAGGCAAGTACCTCCCCTTTTCACAGAAAGATGAAATAATTTGCCTAAAAGGTCACATAGTTATGAGGTGGTAACAGGAAGATTCAAAAACCAAGGTCAGACTACAAAGACGAAGCTCTTAACCAAAGGTTTAGAGTAAGATAGGCCTTGGTTCAAATCCAGATTCTGTTAGTAGGAGTGTGATCTTGGGCAAGTGACAATCTTATCTTCATTTTTTTCCATCTTCAAAACAGGCAGATTACCATGCCACCTCATTACATGGTTAAAAAAATCAATAAAACTCTTGGTTCTCCATTTGGCACATAGAAAGTATTCTATTTGATGATAAATTACAGGTTCTTGCAACAATAAGAGCATCACGAAGAGTTATGATGCCACAACGGTAATTAAAAATAAATGCCAGAGAAACTTAAGTCATGCACCACTGAATCCTAATGAAAAGTGTTTTCGTTGTTTTGAGTCTGTTCACAAAATATTATGATATTCAAGTAGTATAACATATTTAGCTTGAGGAATTACAAAAGTTAAGTAAAATATGACATAATATTAAATCAAATTGGGGCCAACCAGAATAGATTAAGTTCCTGAGCATGAAGTTTACTACTGGGCCCCATTTAAAGTTGCATTGGGCAAACAGTTCTATTTGGGGAAAAAAAATCATTATTTAAAACCATTGCCTTAAAAGTAAAACCATAAAAAAATTGTATGCTGTTTATCTCTGAAAATTAGTTTAACTTTTGATTCTACTTTCAAGCCCTAATTACTTCAAATAAAAATTTCCAAGGCTTCTCTGTCCCCTGAAAAATGAATTATTAATAAAACAAGGAAGCCACAGAAAATGGATTGAAATAGGTAGCACTGATCTTAATATGTAGCCTGGTTGAAATGAAAGTTTATCTGCCTATTTATAATAATTAAAGAACATTTGAAAATAAACTTAATTGACTTTTGAAAGAAGCAATCTCTATTATTCAAAAAGCCCTTTTATGAACCATAATTTTAAATTCTGAACAGCTAATCTTTTCTATCTTCCAAGATATATATAATTCATTATTTTGACTCTAAGTTTTAGTATAATGACATTTCCAGGTATCAGCAGTAATAAATACATTTAATAAATAACAGAGTTTAAAAATAATGGAGCTTCAATGATCACTGAATACGTTAGTGAAACCCAAGAGTCGAGACTGCTTTTCTAACCCCAAACAATCTACACTAAAAGGTGTACTTAAACATGCATACCTCAAGTTGTCACTTGGTTCTTTTTTTACTGGAGTTTCCATGTACTTGAAGTCTGCTGATTGGTCCTCTCCAGCAACATTGGGCTCCTGGCTTATCCTGGAGACCCCTGAAGTACATGAGAGCTCTCCTTCATTGGAGACTCCAAAGAGGTCTGGGTCGTCTTGAATTACATCAATTAGGAGGACATCATCTTCATATGCTTTAAGAATATCTGGAGACCCTACTTTGATTTCTGAAAAATTCTTAGTTATTTTTCTACCACTAACTTCACTGGAAACTGGCTGGAATGTTTCTTGCTCATTACAGCTGAAGAAAGAATTTTTCTCTACATACCCGGGATCATAAGAAAAAGTATTATTTTCAACTGTGAGAGAAGCAACTTCTTTATTAGACACAATATTGCCTCGTTCAGAGATGTGATTAGATGGTTTGTTATTGTTATCTTGCTTTGTAAACCGTGGATAAATACTACAGGAATTCTTATCGTAGAATGAATCAGAACTAGCTTGCGCTGGAGTGACGCTATTTTGTATGCTCAAAGTTTGAGGTCCTGATGTTGTCATGGAGACACTTTCTTTACTCCTATTCTGTCTTACCTCTGCTCCAGATAAATTGTCCAGAAGTTCTAGAGGACTGTAAGCTTCTCTCTCTGATGACTTGGCATTTATTTCTTTTCTTTTTTCTGTTTTATTCTTAAGTAAAGGAATTTTAAAATTAGTTAGCCTTCCTGTGTTCAATATTTTAACCAAGTCTGGAGCTACAAATGTTTGTTTAGCAACGCATGATTTTCGATGAATAGTTCTGCCTGTAGAGTTATTTGCTTCCTGACCATCTTTGGAAGTCGCTATCAAATTTAGTTTTGTTAAATTTCCTCTATCTTTTTTTTTATTTCCTGTTAAGATTTGAGTCTCACTGATTAACTGAGTATCTTCAGTAGTGTTAGAAACCACCTCTGACCCACTTTTGCTCAGTTCCTCTGATTTTATCTTTTTATCATCCTCGATTATAGGTTCCTTCATAACCATTAAAGTATGTTCTATTGCAGAAACTGAAGACAAACAATTCGAATTAGAATCTAGTTTTTCTTTACTTGAAGATTCAATGTTTGTTTCTGTTAAGGAACTTTGTAATAATAATTTGGAGTCAGTTAAATGGGTCTGGTTTGTTTGGTGTTTAAGAACATCATCTTGCCTACAACTTTCCTGAGACCCAGGAAGAAAGTAACTTGATTCTGGCAAGGAAGCCTTTTTCCAACACCAGGCAGATATTCGAGCACATGAATAATAAGGCCAAGTTCTTTTACCAGTCATAGGTATTGTTCTCTGACAGCTTAACTTCAGTTCTTCAGATTCCCTTCTCAACTCTTCCTGTGAAGATCTCTTTTCAATATGGTACTCATTAGGTGATTTCCCTATGGAGCTTTTCATTGATTTAAAATCCTCTGTCTGTGCCATGCTTTCATATCCTAAGGGCTCTGAAGCATTCTCTGTTTCTTCTTTCAAAAGTGGCTCAATGGTTTTCTGACACACAGCATTTACATGATGTTCGGGACTTGTTTCTTTTCCTACCATTTCTGGGAGACTTAATAAATGATCCATCAGAGAGACTGTATTATGGCTTACTTTTCTCAGAACATTTAAAGGACTTTTAGTCTCTGCTTCTTTACCATCAGCAATCATTTTATTTTCTTGCAACATCAACTCAGACTTGTTATACTCATAAAAGTTCATCTCAGTAACTGTTTCAGACTCAGTAACTGCTTTTTCAGACTTTATTCTTTTCCTGGATTTTCGCCCAACACTGCTCTCCTCTATTGAGTATTTATTTTTTTCACGTTGAAGGCAGGAAAGCAAGTCATTGGTTTTACTTTGGCATAAATCACTCTCTTCTAGTAGTAACTTATTTACTCCCATTACACTTTCTTTGGTTTGTAAAAGCCGAGGAATACTATTTGTGTCACTCTTCTCTGCAAGACTCCTAAGGTTTTCTTTCTTTAACTTTGAGGAATTTTCTGCTACATGCATACATCCACCATCAGGCTTATATGGCAGGTTGTTTTCATCATTACAACCCTTGGAATGGGGGAAACAATTGCAAACATGTAATTTCAAAATGGAATTATTTTCTACTTCAGGTGACAAGATGTTACAAGAATATTTTGGAGTATTCTTGTACAGTTCATCTTGGAATTCAACCTTAATATTTTGTGTAGCCTCATTTTCTGTTACTTTGAGAGGTGGGTTTTCTAAGCTTTTAAGTTTTTTATTTCGAATTCTTCTTCTTTTAATGCCTTCCACGATACCTTCCTTACTCAAAGACTGCAAGCATTCCACTGTTTGGAAAGATTCCGAACTGGTTAATGATTCCTTTCTTACCAGGTCAATCTCTGGCTGAGGATCATCACTTGAGGCTTCAGTAACTTTTCTTTTTTCCTTGGCTGATCAAAACAATAAAACATACCAGAAAAGATTTTATATTGAGGAGGAAAATGCAATACCACTGAAATTAAAAACTGTGAGGCTATAATTTTTATTTCCCTTCAGCGCTCTATGTAAATACACATTTGTTTTTAAATGAAAACCTAATTTCTGTTAAGGAATTGCATATAAACCTGTATAAATTCTAAGGCAACTGAATAACCCTTACAGCATCGTCATCTCATACTAGCCAAAATGTACCACAAGAATTCCTCCTATCGTAATTCTGATCAAGGACTTCTAATGGTGAACACCCTTTTAAGAAAATCCACTTTTCCCATCTCCTGGTCAACCATGTGCATCAGAAATAACCATGCAGATTCCAGTTAAAGACTAGCGGTAAAACAAAGATGCAGCACGCTGAGGTGCAAAGGCTAAAGATAAGTGACGGTGGGTGCTTTCTTACTGTGTCTTTCCGTTTGCAAGCGGAGTTCAGCCTCCTTTGCTGCTTGTATTCCTCGCCGGTCTGACGGGCTCACCTGGCCCCTGGGCCTCTCCACTCGACGCCTTGTGGCCTTTTCAGCCCCTGATGCCGCAACCGACCTGTCTCTTTCCACCTTGTCTTTCCCAGGGCTGGCCTGGGCCACCATTCTCCTCTTTTGCCTATTTTTCCTGCGCCCTCCGACCTCTGGGCCGCAGCCTCTCGCTGTGCCTGGCCCTCGCGCCTGCCGTTTCCGCAGGTTTCTAACATTGTCTTCAGGACCCGGGGCCATCGTGGGATCCAGGGGTGGATGTCGTCGCATGTGCCCCAGGGCCGGCCCGCCAGGGCTCCTCCGCACCAGCTCGCAGGAACCCACCGCCGCGCAAAGACTGCACCCGCCTCCGCCTCCAGCACCTACTACCTTCTGACCCACCCCACACTGCTCGTCACCACAGCCTAGGGCCGGAAGCGGAAGTGGGGCGCGTAAGCGGAAGTGGGCCGAGTGGCTGGGGCCCCGGACTGGCGCTTCGGGATCCAACGGGCTGGTGAGCGGCGAGTTCCGTGCTAGCGTCTTTCTGGAGGGCCTCCCGCGCGCGCGGCGCCTCGAGGGTGGCAGTGTCCAAGACCGGTTTTATTGCGAGGGACTGTAGTGGGGCTGATCACATCACAGGCCTCCGTTGTCCCTGCCACTAGGCTGAGCCTCGCCGAACGGTTCAGAGCTCATTCTCCCAGCTGCTGCTCCTCGCGCCTTGCCTGCTCGCAAAGACCACTGACAGCCAGTGGCTTCTAACTCCACACCGAGTCTCCTTGAAGCCCCTGTCTAATTGCCTTCCTGATGTATTTACCCGGGTATTCCACAGGTGCCTCACACTCAGATGGGCAAAACAGCTCATGGCTCCTCAAGCTTGCTTCTTTCACATTGGTGGATGCGCCACCATGCACCTGCCAGAAACCTAGAAACCATCAGAGACAACCTTCTTTCTACTTCATCCCTCACATCCGCATTCACTAGATCTGCTAAACCGTGGTTTGTTTGTCAGCCACTCTCCCGCTTGCCATTACCGTGGCTCTGGCCCTCAGGCTTTCTTGACTGACCTACTGCATTATGCCTCTGAATCCATTCATGAACTGTTCCAATCAAACTTCCACCTCCTTGCCAGGCCATGCCTCTCCAATGAAAGAGGATCCTCGCACTCCTCAGTTTGACCCTTCTTGAACTTCTTTTGCTCAAACACTAAAACAGAAGTCCAAACTCTAGTGTGGTATCTGTGACTCTGTCTGATGTGGCCTCTGAAAATTTAGCTAGTTTTCTCTTACTGCCACTGTAGGGTAAAAGTTGTGCTTTGATGGAAAACTGATCAGAAGTCACCCTTCCGAATTATCTGACTTTAATTCTATGGGAGTTATTTTACAGCTCTGTAAATTACAGATAAGCGATAGCAACCAAAATAATGGTCTATAGACATCCAAATTCTGTCTAATAGAAGTTTAATTGGCTTCCCAGCTGGGCACTGTGGCTCATGCCTGTAATCTCAGCACTTTGGGAGGCTGAGGTGGGTGGATTACCTGAGATGAGGAGTTCAAGGCTAGTCTGGGTAACATGGTAAAACCCCATCTCTACAAAAATACAAAAATTAGCCAGGCATGATGGCAGGTGCTGCAACCCCAGCTAGTTGGGAGGCTGAGGTGGGAGAATCGTGTGAACCTGGGAGGTGGAGGTTGCAGTGAGTGGAAATTGCACCATTACACTCCAGCCTGGATAACTGAGTGAGACACTGTTGCCAAAAAAAAAAAGGAAGTTTAATTGACTTCTCATTTCCACTGTGGAAGAAGCCAGTTTTTGCTTCCATTTCCACATACATTTCATTCCTAGTCTAGAATGTTTGTTGTTAGAATTATCCTTTGAACCAATGGTTATAAAATCTGCCTGATGAGAGAATATAATCTTCAATACATGTTCATCTATGACTCCCATTATTTTCTCTTTTTTGAAAATTATCTCTTATCACCACACATAGCCTGCACTTAAGCCACACTGGACTACTACTGAGGTTCCCCAGATTTCATATACTTTTGTCATGTCCAGACTACCTAACAGTCCTGGAAAGTCTTCCTTTGCTTGTCTTCCTGGTGAACTATATGTTTCCCCTTCAAGATTCAGTGCAAGGATCACCCATCAAGGAATCTTTACTGCCACTGTTCTTACACTTTGAGGGGTAAAGTGTTCCTACCTGTATACAAACACACTGTTCATCTTTTTACTTGTGTTTCTCCCTTAGTAGGGTAGGAAATTCCAAATCAAGGGCAGATACCTTCCATTACTCTTTGCTTTCTGTGTGTTTAAAGAAGGACCTGGAGAATTCGAATACAATGCATTAAAGAATGGTAGGCATGAAGCATAGAGTATGAGTAATATGACAGTTTGGATGAGCAGCTCAGGTGGAGTATTCTGAGGAGCTTTTAGAAAATCAAATTTAAGTGAAAGAGGTATAAAAGATACAGAAATTTTCCTTGTTTCTTTTTCCTTGTAATTACCCTTAATAAAAGGGAAATCAGTTTAAGACTAGCAGAATTTATAAAAAGTGATCATAAGCATTTCAGTCTCATTCTATGTTCACTTTATGCCTCACTTTATATCTCAGTTTCCTCATCTGTAAAATGAAATAGTATCTCCTCAGAGTTCTCATGAAAATTAAATGTACCAATATTTGTAAAGCAGTTTGAACAATGCCTAGTCAATTACAAACATTAAACAGATTTGTTAAGTAAAAACCTCATTACACACACACACTCTGAGTCAGAGTCTCACTCTGTTACCCAGGCAGGAGTGTAGTGATGTGGACATGGCTCACTGCAGTCTTGACCTCCTGGGCTCAAGTGATGTTCCTACTGCAGCCTCAGGAGTAGCTGGGACTACAGGTGTGTGCATCACCATACCCAGCTCATTTTTTTTTTAAATAGAGATAGAGTCTCCCTATGTTGCCCAGGTAGGCCTTGAACTCCTGGCCTAAAGTGATCCTCCCACCTCAGCCTCCCAAAGTGTAGGGATTAGAGGTGTGAGCCACTGGGTCTGGCCTCAATATAAATTAAAATATATATGAAGGTAGACTCTATAGAATTCTGACATTTACTACCTTCAAAATAAACATTGCTACTAGGATGTTAGTAAAAAAAAGATAAAAGTTCAAGAGTCTGGCCTCTGGTCTGAGGCTGGAGCCCACTGGCTTTGCAAAGGCTGTTCCTGCCACCAGGTACCCACTGCCTTTGGCCCACTTTAAGGACAGATGGTGTTAAAGTTGGTTATAGGCCTAGGAATTTAGAAACTTTTATGACCCACAACTGTTAAGCAATATGTAGAACAGGAATGAGAAGAACTTAGTAGCATAGGAAATTCCAAAATCAAATGCAGTTGTCCCTCCATATCTGTGGGTTCTGCATCCACAGATTCAACCAACTGCGTATCAGAAATATTTGGAAAAAAAGCAGTGAATAAAAACTACGAAATTAAAAATGAATGTAACAATCATTTACATTGCATGAGGTATTATAAATAATCTAGAGATGATTTAAAGTATACAGAAGGATGTGCATAGGTTATATGTAAATACAATGTCATTTTATGTAGGGAACTGAATCACAGATTTTGGTATTGAGAGAAGTCCCGGAACTAATCCTCTGTGGACACTGAGGAAATACTGTATACTGAGGGTTCTCCATAAGAAAATTACAATCTTTATTACAGCTAGCTTTAAAATCCTCATGCCAAACTGCTTTCACAGAAAACTTGAGGCTAGATGTCTACACAAACAATTTCCATGGATCTTCTGTTCTCTTCTGTGAAATGATTATCATAATTCTACTTAATATTCGTGGCAGTGTCTGGAAAGGGAGGGGATTTTCATTTATCAAAAAGGACTGTCTTCCTAGTGGGAGATCTTACATACTTGGGAACCCAGGACATGGAACAGAATATTTACTCATAGCTATTGGGTTTCATCTCAGTCCACACAGAGATGAACTTCTATGGGTGCCTAGGAGTCCCTTCTCTTTTAGTCCTTTCCTTTTTCTCTTTCTACCCATGTGCTCTTGCCTCTGTATCCTGGCTGACAATATTGTTCAGCCCTTGAAGTCAGCTTCAGGGTCACCAGGTCCCCAGTGTCCTAGTTCTATCCAGGAAAGCGGAGGGCAGAGCCACATTCTCTGCATTCCACAACTCTAAGTTGTAGATTATTAATCCTCTGGATGGGCTACATAATTTATGGTCTCCAGTTCAAAATAAAAACTCACACGGCCCTTTGTTCAAAAATTTAAAAGTTACCCCATTTTTTGGGTGGGGGGGGTCTTCACTTCTGAAGGCTCCTGTTCATATAAAACTTAAGGAAGTTTGTGAGCATTTGGCCAGGCATGGTGGCTCACACCTGTAATCCCAGCACTTTGGGGGGCTGAAGCAGGAGGATTGCTTGAGCCTAGACATTCAGTATAAGCCTGGGCAACACAGACCCTGCCTCAAAAAAGAAAAAAGGTTAAAAACTTTCCAGATAGTGACAGCAGAGCATGAAACCAAGTATGGAGCCCTGTGCAGCTACACAGGCCATATGCCCATAAAGCCGACCCTACAGATTCATGTTCTATTTATACAAACATCTATAAGACTCACACTCTATCGTTAGTCTTGTAACTTCTATAAGTTCTCTTCTTATAACAATCTATAACTTCTCTATTACTAATATTTGCCAACTCTAACATAATAACGTCTATCCTTTATTATGCCAGACCTTGGCCAGTTTGCAGTTAGAGCAATTCCATACTTCTGCCCTGCTATGACTCACGGGGGCCTAAATCTATATTTTCCACATTCCTGGGCCAGCTGGCTTTGGGTGAACCTCGGCCAATAGAGAACCCTTGCAGAATAAAGAAGGGAGAGTTTTCGCATATTGCTTTCTGCCTTGAACTGCCTAGCAGACCGCTGCTACATTTCCCCTGGGACTCCATTTCTTGCTTGAGGGGCTCCCCATGGGGCATCAGTCATGTGCCTTGAGGTCCTTTTCCCCCTCCAGTCTAGAAATGGTAATTGTTTTCTGCTGTTATTAATATCTGGGCATCACAAACCTTATTCACTTTCTCGGTTCTTCTATCCCATTCCCTGCAGTACACTCTTGTTTTGTTGGGAGTGATGAGGTTCAGGACATGCTACCCCCAAATATGGCACCTTGGCATTTGAGAAAACAGGAGAAGCAAGGTAACTTTTATTCCCCCCCCCCACCCTTCTCCCCTGAAACAGGCCATAAAATCTAGCTGACTTTTTCTTGAAGGAGGCCATAACCCCTCATTCCAGGGGTGCCCTTCCTATTCCCAGAAGAATGCAGTATCTTTATTTCTGAAGACACAGGGACACAGAGAAGAACCTGAACAAACAAGTCTTGCTAAGTTCTCCCCAGTTTATTACCATTAGATCACACCCCCTTTGTCCAATAATAATTCTGCACAACTGTCCACTCTTTAAGAATAAAAATACACA